TATATGACATTATTACGACCTATTGTCCTGTATGGTTCTGAGACGTGGACATTAAGGGAAGCCGAAGAACAGAGACTAGAGGTATTCGAGATAAAGGATAACAAAAGTTCATACAATAGGTTGATGACAATAAAAGAATATATAATTAAACATAAAAACCAATTCAAATGTCGACTATAAATATTTATAAAACAATCATTACAATTAACATACAAAAATGTTTAAAAGTACATACACTTGCTTTACTCTTGGTATCTATAAAAACAAAACAAAATAATATATTTTTTAATACATTGTATATACATACAAAATACACAAAAAAATAATAAATAATAATTTTAAAAACTTACTCATACTAATAAATATATATCTACACACTCACTGCTAACAAAACTATTAAGTATTAACAACATTTTTTTCAGACCATTAACACCTAATTTTTTCCAAAATAAAATAATATAATATACCTACACTCTTGACAAAAATTTGGATAAAAATAAGTTAAATACACATTACTTAAACAGTTGATAACATCATAAGATATGATGATAATACACTGTGATAATACTAATATGGATGCATCTATTGTGATAGTAGAGGGGACTAGTTAAATGAGCCGACCATGACACAAGCGTCTAGAAACAGCGCATCTTATCTGCACTATTATTATCAGTATTAAACTATCACTACAGTTGCCTTATCACATAATCGGTTGATTACATTTAAATATTATATTTAAGCAAACAGCCTTAATATTATATTATTTAATAATTATATTAATTGTAATATATTAATTATTTAGTATTATTAATTTATATAGTACAAACTACAATGTCATAAAGTGAAGAATTAGAAGTAATAAATTTAAAATTTTGTTCTCTTCAAGGTAATGATTTAAAAAATTCATAATATTATGTAAAACCAGTCTTGTTTGTAAAGTATTTGTAAATTATTTGAATACATATTCTCTCATATATTCATTACCACCCAATCCAAAACTGTCAAATATTAGCGGGGCAAAAAATATTATATTCTAATTATCTAATAGTATTTGAATACAAAATAAAAGTATTTTTCACAAGACTACAAGACTAAACTGTGTAAATAAATAAATATCTATATTTAATTAAAATGTACTGTAGAGTAAATCTTGTAAGTATTATATTCAATTACTTAAGAAACTAAAGTACTAAATTATATTTTGAAATTATACCTATATAATATTTACTTATAATTATAATTATAGGTGGAATCCCACCAAATGTAATAATTGATCTGTTACGAAATGAAACTGATTATAATATTGAAAAAAAAATATTACAAGGAAAGACATATATAACATTTCTAATTCTTCACTTGATGACATTGTAGTTTGTACTATATAAATTAATTATACTAAATAATTAATATATTACAATTAATATAATTATTAAATATTATAATACTATGGCTGTTTGTTTAAATATAATATTTAAATGTAATCAACCGATTAAGTGATAAGGCAACTGTAGTGATAGTGTAATTACTGATAATAATAGTGCAGATAAGAGGCGCTGTCTCTAGACGCTCGTGACTATGACACGATTTCAAATTTCGCAGGCGGTGAAGAAGGAGAAAACATATGTGTTCACAAATGAGCGTTACCAAACTAGTTCACGTCAGAACACGCGGAAGTGTTGCCAACTGCACTTCATTATTAATGCGTAACAGGACCGAATACCTACCCACCCAACAGGTCCGAGCCAACGATGCATTTTTATCGATTGAGTTAATGCCGTATTCTCCGATCGAAGCTTTTCACTCATAGACGACGCACGTATATGTCTCGCTGCAACTCTTGAGAAGTTACGACTCGTAACGCATGACGTATGTTACGACGTAATATTCGATTATGGTCATTGTGTTGCGATGATGTGACTTCATATACGATTTGAGCCTCTAATCGAAGCATTCAACGCTATCCACTCCGGAAGTGTACGAGGAGTTCTGAAATAATTTGATAAAAATATTTTTATTTTTTTACTACACATCTTTTATCGAACAATCCTATCGTGAAACAGAGAACACTTGAAAATCAAAAATAAAATATCAGCTTCCGTGTGTATTTAATTGAATGAGTTTATGGTACATCGTAGAATACAATGATTTGATATTTTAGTGGGGAAAACAAATATTTTTTGGTAGTTAGTGGTCGATAGTTCACTTCATTACTTATCTTCTATCAATAATTACTGTTTAAAATTTCGAATTTTATGCAAACTATGTAGTGTCCACTTAATGTACCATTTAAAAATTATGTAAGTAAAAAATTAGGTATCGGTAATCGAATAGATTCACACTTTTATGGGATGCGAAATGGTAAGCAGTAGAAAACAGGCCCGGGAGAAAAAATGAAATTCAACTGAGGTTTTTAAAAAATAATTTATTTTTGAATTCATATACAGTATCAGATTTTGGTATTGCAACCCAAAAGTTAGATCACAAAAAAATACCATCGTACTAATGATAACTTTCGTGATGAGCCTAAGACTGAGTGTTAACTCAAATAAATTAAAATTTTTAAAAAATAAATAAATGCATTACTAATATAATCCATAAATTCTACACATAAACCGGAGTCGGTACTCGTCAATGCCCAATAATTGTGTTATTATATAATAACTATTTCAGTAAAATTTAAATTTTTTTTTTTCTGGTAACAATTATTAATTTCGTTTAATTTATATTTTATCGCAATAATTAGAAGTTATTAGAAAATTCATGTACATATTTTTGATATATTTCAAAATAATTGTATACTAAATGCGTGTAATACAAAAAAGCAAACATCGAGCTGACAACCGTAGGGCAAACAATTTATATGACCGACAAACAGTGAACCGAATAAATTATAGGTTATCAAAAATTTAGTATTACATAACCTTTCTAAGGCATCTCTAGACCTTTTTTTGTGATCCCTCTTTTTATATTCCCGATAAAATTATGCATAAATATTTTTTTATCATTACACGTATTATATTCTACGAGTATAAACTATCGACCCTATGTACTATCAGTCCCATATACTGCTAGACTATTGATCTTTTCTCGTTATATGTATATATCGTTCAATATACATATAATTATATAGACTTTAACGTTTATATCAGCCACTCGTGAAGATTTCTCAATGTTCTTAATTTTGCATGTTAAAATGGATCATAACACTAGTGTTCGAGTGCATGATTTTTATTTCTAAATCATTTCATAGCTATTGACATGTTAACACAGGGTTGGGCATAACTTAATGATTTTATAACGGCAGCAGTTATCTTTTTAGCATAAAGACTAATAGAAAAATAACTGATAACGTGAATTATCACTATAACCGTGATTGAGATTTGGATGAATTATTTGTGTTTTTTATTTTTTCAACATTTTTCATTTTGCCAAATAACGCATAATTTAATGTGGTTGTAATATAAATGATGTACTGCATCGTTGACTGAGACACTAATCACAGTACTGCTCTTACGGATTGATAACTCGTCTGTTCAACGACAATCTCTTACTGTTATCGTTATTTTACCGACCAGCACATATTTAACATATTAAACACCGTCACTGTTTATGTGTTCATGGTTTCCATTAAGTTTGAAACCTTGGAAACCTAGATAGAATTGGATTACTTAATTTTCTCTTTAAATATCTTAATTTTATGTATAACAATTTTACCTATTAAAATATAGTTACTTGAATTATAGTTATTGTATTGATTTTCGAACTGTATGAGATAAGTAAAATCTATCTTGTTTGTTTGCAGTCTTTCCTAAGTATGACTACATGCTTGATATTATTATTTAAAAAATAACCACGGATCCACTGGATCATGCATGCTGCCGTATCGTTTAGTAGGATGTGATACATCCGTAGTACGTAAAAAATACGTTTTACATGGGACACAACCATTCGAACTTATATCCATAACGGAGGACCAAAATAAAGAGAAGAAAATGATCTGTGCAATAGTAAAATAAATTGATTTAAAGTTATTACTTTAAATACTAACAATTGCACGCATATTCTTATTGTATCAATAAATTGTACAGATTGCATATTATCAAATAAAATTAAAAAAAAAAAAATTGAGTTTAATGCATATGGCGCTAATCGCATGCAGTTGATTTTTATAAAAGAAAATCACCATTTTTAATATGTATTGTGTGTGTGTGCACGCAAATTTTGGTTGTGTTCATATTTGTTATTTTTTTTCAGTCATTCGTTCTTATTGTTCTCGATATTGAAGCGAACATTTTCTTATTATCGTCGTTATTTCCAATAATTGTAATTATTGTAATTATTATTATAATTATTATAACATTGTATACAATGTGGTTTGGATGATATTGTATCGCCAGAGATTTATTTCTTTTATGATTCGTATGGCTGTATGAGTACAAAAATATAGGATTAGTTTTTAAAAAAATAAAACAGAACACAAATATTATTTAGTAGCAGTGATACTGTTTTTCTGCTTTAACCTCTGAAGGAAGAAATAAATGCGCGTGTTTGATTATGTATAATAATTATGTGTTCAATATATATTTTATATAATACAAGTGTAAAAATCACACCATTAGTGATTTGATTGAATTCAATTATGTCCGTAGAGTACTGGGACAGTTTGAGAACTATTGGTGTGTATAAACCTCATAGCCGTCGCTGCACCGGATCTATAAAAATATCGTCGTAGAGTCTTCTTGAGAAGATGATTATAATAAAAATAAAATTGAAATTGAAAATGAAAAAAAAAACCATAACTCTTCATACAGGATAATAAACTGCGGTGCTAAATAGGTTCGGAGTAGACAAATGGAAAACGTGACAAAATAAAACGCTATGTTGGTTCGTTAATTTTTGTTTTAATACATATATATATATATATATAGTTTCTATGCAAATATACTATTAAAAATCGATTATATCGACTGTAAAGTGCAAACAAATAATATAAATAAAAATTATTTTATAATAATAATAATATATTAGACGAACAAGCTCATCATGAAAAATCACCTTCAGATACAAATAAATTATCACATAAAAAAAAAAAATTAAAAAAAACAAATACCTATTTTGCCTATGGTTGACAAAATTGTATAAGTTAAATTGAATTGTAATGCAGATAGCTACTGCAGTGCGACGTGTAGGTACGTACAACAACTAAAGTTTACACAAATTATTGGTATTTTTTGCTCTTAAAAACGATTTAACGTACAAGATTAGCGTGTACGATCACGAACCGCTGAGAGCACGTTTGATCATTCGGATCGGTAATTAATACAGGTTACTAGTGTTTCCGTCCGACTCGGTTTCGTGTTTTGTTCGACCCGATCGAAAAATGTATTTATTTTTATTTTTTTAAAAGAAATCAGACGACAAACTTTTCGGGGTAAAACCTAGAAGGACGTTATGGAGCGGTATGGAAACAGGAAAGGGTGGCGTAACGAAAATATGTTTCGCACGAAATCGAACGGTTCGTCTTGGGGGTGAAAACGTACAAAATACGAATCATATTAAGATGTGATGAACGTAAAACGAATAGAAGGCAGTAGTGATGTAGAGGCGGTGACGGTTGTGGTGGTGGTTACGGTACATAATGTTTGCTCACGACGGGTTGTTCGTGATTGTTTCGTAAACGCATACAAAAAAAAAAAAAAAAAAAACAGGTGGGTAGGGCGTTGCGGCGTGTGATGAGCTCATCGTCGTCGTCGCAGTTGGTTTAGCTCGTCCACGTCGGTGTAATCTTCGCGGAGCACTAGCTTACCAGCCCCGTCTAGTCCGATGCACGCCATCCCGTCGGAGCACTCCAGCCCCGTGGCGCACGGGCACACCACCATGTGCACGTTCAGTTGGGCGGACGACCCGTCCGGGTAGTGCACGGTCGTGTTCTGTGGCACGTCGTCACCGCGCGGACGGCACGTCTCACCCTCGTCGCCTAGTCGTTTGCAAACGGGCACACTGTACCTCATCATACCTGCGGATAGACAACACATGAATACTGGTGATGGGTACAATCGAATGATTAGTAATCGGAAAAAAAATAATCGAGTATTCATATGATTCATGATTTAACTGCTCGAACTGGTTGCAAAAATAATCAAACGATTTTATCTATAATTGTTAAAATGAAATGCATTTTCAATACAAATACTTATACGTATTAAACCGATTAGTGTTACTATTTCCGATACCGGATATTGTACCAGCGATTAAAAATAAAATAAATAACAATACAATATTGATGGGAGTAGACTTCTTAATTAAACAATTCTTGGAATTATGTAGTTTTATACTTTTTGATAAATTTATAACACGCTTATTTTTTGAATAACTTCATTAATTTGTTTTTGATAAATATTTACAATACCATCATTTCAATTATTAAAATAATTTTATTATTATAATAATTGAATGATTCCATTATTCCTATCACTAATGAATACCACTCGCTGATCAACGGTATCTGCGGTCACGTAGTGCCAGCCCGAGACTGAGAGCAAGCGATGCGATCGCACCTGCCCGCAGGGTAGAACACGATAGCGTACATGGGTATGATCGAATTGCACTTATTTTAGTCGAATTGCACCTGGGTTTAAAAAAGGTAATGGTCGAACTGTACTTGGGTAAAAAGCAGGAAGTGGTCGAACTGCGCTTGAAGTCAAAAAAGTATTTCAATAAAATTATCATGAATTTGAAGGGGTTAGATTTATTTTATTTAGTTACATTTAGTATCATTTAGTAATCATTGGCGGCATGGTTAAAAATAATTGTTTTATAAATAACATTATGTTAATTATATTCATTTACATTATAATTGTTATGTTATACATATTATTATTATTATTATTATTATATATATATATTTTTTTAATCATCATATTTAATTAATGTCATAACTATAATTTTTTTTTTGTCATTTCTATCACTTTTTGTAGTTATGACTAGCTGTATTCAAAAATTCTATTCTGGTATTACGCTTCTGAATATATATGTTATTATAATATAATATTATCTGCGTTATCTAAATGGCACGGACTAATATATAATGCAGTTAAATAAGTACGCCGTGACGTTCTTCAACAGAAAGATTCGTAATATTTTTAAAGGGGTTTCCATTTTAATAATTTTTTTGAACGAGTGCAGTTCGGCCATTACCTTTTTTCAATCTAAGTGCAATTCGACCATTTATTTGTAGGTAATAAGTGCAATTCGACTATCCCGGTGTACATTAGTCTTTTTTGACAACACGATTATGTATGTTTGTATATGGGTAACAAAAAAGGTGGGTAAGAAATATAAATAAACACGATTGCCTATGGAATTGTATGCAACGTTGTCAAATTTACTAATTTCACCGTTTTATATCTAATACATATAGAATAAATGTATTTACAATTATTTATTTATTTACAGTTCTATAATAATTCATAAAAAAAATAATAATTTATTAATAAATAAATAAAATATCAATTTTTATATTAATAAAATTATTGTTAATAAACTGTTTGAAAAATGCTTAAATTTGGATTCCTTGACATCTATAACCTATAACTATTACTGAAACTTGGAAAATACTATATAATATAACGGAAACAACGTAATATTTCGTAATATCTGATGTATTCGATATCAATAACAATAAACATAAGTATAAAAACGATAAAATACAAAGTATTTATTAACTTTTTCAAGTTCACTCGTATAGGCATGTGGTATACACCGATACTGGTATGAAAATCGGCATCAACGCCTAAGTTAAAAATCAGGTAAAACCGTACGGAATCGTGTAGTTTAAAAATGTATCGCCGATAACGAACGTACGCAATCGTGTGTTACCAGCACCGGGCTTGTACAGGGCCCCACAAATTATGTATTACGAATATCACTTTATCCGTAAATAAAAATAATACAGTCCCGATACGCAAATCGCGATCCGTGCAGTCGTGTTATTTTCTCAGCAAACGGGTTGTTATAGACAAAAATGGAGACGGTACCGATTAGTACGCGTAGCTTTGAAGTATTGTACGCGCATACATTTGCGACATTTTTTATCGTCAACGGTAGTTTAAAATATAGTTATAGTATATATTTAGTTACATAATAACATGAATGTAGATTTCTATAAACAACTAATAAATTAATAAATACATATATACAGTTATATTTATTTTTATAATTTCGCACGTAACGCGCATGAATACTACCTAATGCCGATTTGACGAGATATACGTCGATATACATCTATACGTATATATGTACAATGTGAAAACAATCAAAGATGGACCAATATCCATCAAGTGATTATTCCTGCGGGAAAGCTCTTATGGCTAAGCTAGTGGCTAACCGTATGTGCTTTTTTTCCAAGTGGCTCAGAGATGTGACAAGCTCACCTCCCCCGTGACCCCTATGAACCACGAGGCATTATTACTGGAAAGTTAGAAGATATTTGATTTACATGCGCACACTTTTTGTATGCCCCACGAGAATACACCATTTACGGTGTAATTGCGACAAAAAATTTACCGTTCTTAAACTTTCTACGGTCGCGTTGTAAAAAGCACGTGAATAAATAGCTATATAATATGCGTGCACGACACAATATGTCGGGTTGAAGTTAAAGAATCACTATTACTCCACCGCTACAGCCTAAAGCTATTCCATCGAAGTTACAAATCGCGGCCACCCAACCCGGCTCCCGAAAAACTCTTATAGATCACTGACTTTTGTAATGTCATACAATATTGTTTTATTTTTAATTAATTTTTTGCTTGAAGCAGTTGAGGCGAAATCAATAAGCCTACCCTCTGTGATCAAATAGTTACAATTATGTTTGAAAGTGTGTTCACCACGTTTACCTCTGCATTGATTACAATTATTTCATTAAATCACTTAATCATATTTATCGAGTAGAAGGAAAAAAAAATCAACAGAATTTAAATTATTATATCAATCGTAATATTCATTAAGTTATTGTGTCACATAATTCTAAATACATAAAAAATATTGATAATTCACCATTAAAATAAAATATATATCACTATACTATTTTTAAGGTTTACGCGTGTTTTTCATGAAATACAAAAAAAGTGTACTAAGAATCAATTATATGATACACACCTATACATACCTATATTATGTTTTAATAATAATACAATTTAAAAAAACAAATGGACATTAGACCAAATATATAGTGAACAAGCCCTTATATTACCCGTTTGAAGCCCTCCGAAAACTCTTCTTATTCATTTATATAATTGTATTTCTTTTTTCTTTTGATATCGAGACAATTGTAACGATAATAAGTGTCCGTCATCAGCTTTTTAAATACATCAAAATCGTTTTGTTAAAATATAGCTTTAAACAATAATAATTATCGTAATTGTTACGATAAGTGAAAGTAAAAGCGGTTAAGACGTTGAATGTTTTATGAGGAAAAAAAACAATACGCTTAATTAGAAATGCGGTGTCGATAATGTTCGTAAAAAGTGGTATATGCGGATAAGTAATAATTTTCATTATAAATAATTCACACTTTAACGGCGCAGGTAAGCAAAACATTATGCACGTAGGCGATTATTTTTATCGCGTTGCGACACATTGTCACATAGGTGTTTTTTATGTTTTTTATCGAATAGCCGTGACCAAACGATACATTTCGTATTATACCCGCTTGTATAGTTGCCTAATAGTTCTATAAATTTCGTATAGATATTGTGTCAATAGTTTTACGAGCCGATTAGTAGGTATATTTATACAAAAGATCAAGCTTAACGTGATTTATATTATTATGATAATAAAAATACTAATAAATATTTTATAATATTCATTTTTATAAAAACTTTACCATATCGTATAGATGGTTAAAGTAACTTAGGTGTATAAACTCTTACATTTAAGTTGCATTCAATTAGGAATTGACGTTTCGGTTATTGACTAACGATAAAAAATATTTTACTACCAAATCGGTGGTCGAATAGAACTCTTTTTTTGTTACTTACTATAATAATCAAGAAGGTTCGTATAGTAGTTCAAACTCATGCCGATTATTCCACCCTCCTCTAGAGCACCACGCTATTACAACGTATGATGCTGATATAATGTGATCTCGAAAGTGTTATGAGGTATATACCCAACCCCTCCCTCGCTATCACCGAAAAAATAGTGTAGAATAGTTCGAAAAATAAAAATTAAAACAAAACCTATTTCAAAAAATAACCTAATATTCTAGACAACTAATCAGACTGATGCATACAACCTATTTGCATTTAAATTATGAAATTCAATAGAAAAAACCGTAATACATTATAACCGTATAAACTATACAGTTCAATGGTGATAATATAAACACGTGTTCCGACGCACCTTAAAACATTGTGCACACATTCTTCGGATGGTTTCCAATAGATGTATTATTCTTCGTGTTGTTATTTTTAATAGTATACACGGTTATACTACGTACCTGGCCAACGGAGACAAAATATTTTATCCGTTTATTCGTTTGTAAACATCGTTATGAAATCGAATCCAGATGTTTAAAAAATACAAAATTGAGTCGACACACACGCAGTATCAAACCGGAATATGCGCGTTAAAAAAATACACTATTTACATGCGTCATATTCTAAGATGGTTATCAATAGATACCGAACGTATTTTGCACCATAAAAAAAGTTATTACTTCGCATAATTTGGAAACAGGGATAAAAAACTGAAGTGACATGAAATTATTCCTAAACGTTTTTTTTTTTTTTTCGTCAATTAAGTGGTCACGATAAAACATTTTTCGGACACACAACTATAAGTTTTATGCTACACAGATAAGCTGAAACAATACCGACGATGTATAACCGTTTATTAGCATGTTGTTCCGGGGAAGGGATGAAAGAGCCGCACCATTCCAGGCCTAAGAGTTCATAATAATAAAGCTATATTTTTTCAATTCTATCAATATTTAAAAACATAATTATATACATT